ATGAATTTAATGTACATACCACTGTTATCTGAAAGCCTTTGATTGATGTTGCTAGTAGATGGTGTACCAGTTGAAGTACTGTCATTACGACTGATTTCTCTCTTTACTTCGATCAATTTAATGAACAACACTGTTGAACTCAGTTACCTTTTATGGTGCTTTCATTAACAAACTCACCGAACGAAAGGAAAACATATTTTTTCATGAAAGCTGCTCACATTTTATTCCACCTCCTGTTATAAGTGATTCTATGACAGCCAAGGGAACGTGACAAGTTCACAATGGCCCTGCGTCTACGAACATTCTCACTGAATTCAATGCAACTCATAGTATTGGACCAACAAGGTAGTCAGTTATAATGAACATGAAAATCTGAGAGCACGTCACTCACCTACATCACGTAAGTTTTTTGTGATGGCTCCAAAGTATGTCGGAACACTTTAGCTAAACAAAAAACGAAGTTAGTGTATTTGCGTTTAAACTGAATGCCTGGTTCTGTACTTTGTAACTTTCTTTTATGACAATAGTTTTTTTTAATAAGCGATGCCTTAATTTGTCTAAGTTTATGGAAGCTTAAGTTGTGGATGCGGTTTATTCAAAAACTGTACGTAACGTCTAATTGTTGACAAATTTCCCCCAAATAACCAACGTAAAGGCGAAAAAGAGAGATTTCCCCTTTATTTACGCTATCGTCCGCTTTATTTCCCCTTTATTCGCCTTTATTTCCCCTTTATTGGTTGCTTGGGCGAGGTATGACTACTCAGTACAATTCTCTTTTATTAGAGTATTTACTATGCTAGAGTCTTCTAATAAGTTAAAGAAAATTGAACAATGTATGAGTGGATAAACAACTGACAAATGGAGGTGGTTCAGAAAGTATCTGAGAGTATGGGATTATGTGTAGTTATAAAATATAGTGCTAATAACAGTATTATGATACACAAGTGGCTGTCATTTTTGTCGAAGCTGTTAGGGCCTTTTTTTAGATTTGACGGGGTATTGAGTAGGCTTCTTTTTTAGCGAATTGTTCAGGTTGCTTGTAATAGGATATCTGAGTAGGAAGTGAAACCAATTCAACGTTCTAAACACGATTTAATAATGTATTTTGCTCATCTCCCGTCACTCCTCAAAGTAAGTGAGGACGATTAGGCGCTTCTGGCCAACCATCAGAAGTGTTAAGCTGCGGCATGCTCGTTGACGTCAAGCTTCTTGCTGGTCATGTCTTAGAGGTTTCACCACCTATCTGAAGAGGAGTGAGATGAAGAGAAACTAAGTTTTGCTAGCCTCCGATATTGATACTGACCTCATTAGTCTCATTGGACATATCCCTAAATTAAGGCGCTAGGTCAATCATCACCTGATTACAAAGTTCGTGTGAGCTATTGATTAAGGAAACGCCAAGAATGTCTTTGTCTGCGGACAAATATTTTAACTCGACATAATGACACTATGAGGTTTTCGACTCTCAAATCATCCTGATGGTGTTCCTAGGATGGACGTCTATCACTCTCTATTAAATGAGTCCAGGAAAGGGGTAGTGTTGGGTTCTAATTGATCAAATTATGTAACACTGTTATGCCTATTTTTAACTGTGATTCCTGCTGTGAATATATGTGATACTGAGCTAGTGATAACTTAAAACAGTTCAACATTCTCTACCATGAATAAATGGTTCGTCTATACGGGTGTTTCTGATTTAGATATTCAGGAAAGATAATCACAAGTACCTCTACTTGGAACAAAGTCTGTGGACATCAGTGGGTTACAGTTCAAGTACTTACAAGATTACCTTATTCAGAGATTACAAAACGCAAAGGTCTTCTCAATGATATGAAAATGACAATAGGAGTTTAATTAGTCCTCATATTCCTCTCTTTTTTCAGCTCCATGAATGCAACATGCAAAGATAGAATTTGGAGCAGGTGTGTGTTCGTCAAGGTTACAGATCGTACGATGTACGACTTTTAAACAGATTATTTCAACTGTGAACACAAACCTACTATCTTGCTGATTATTCTGCATGGATATTCTATCAAAAATTTCCACTATCCCTTCCTGTTGTCATACCTTGGGGATGACTTGCACTTGCTATATATTATGATCGACCATAACATTATTCATATTCTTATGTACGTGAATTTACCCCCCCCGTTAATATATTATATTATATATCAACCTAACTTATTACGGTAAACCATATAACGTCTGTAACATTTCCATCTATTTCCATCCTACAACATATTGTTATATGAAAATAAATTGCTATCATTATATATCTCTGAACTAATAATCGATGAGTTAATGAGTGATCTCTGTCATCGACCTCTAATATTTGCAATTGATTTTAGACTCGTGAGAAAGGTTCACTGTCCTGCACCTTTCAATATTGTTTTGGTTACATAGATGAGCTACATACTTCCCGGATGACTGTTGATACGCGTCTTCCATAAAAGGAAATTGTCTGTTACGTTATGCGATGCCCTTAGATCTCTTTATATTGGCGTTCATCAGATAGTGAGGACCATGCTATAAAATGACTACTCTTTAGAACGTTCTCAACCAGAAAGTCTTAGTTGTTGAAAACGAATACGTAGTACATAGTTGGGGAACCATATCTCGGTCCTCTAGCCCGCATACAAAGAGCTGTGAGTGTAACTTTTATTCATTACGTCAAATTGGGTTACAACAGACACGTGCATTACATGCTGAGATGATGGCCTAAGCTATGGAAAGCTTAATAATAGTCGTGGTTGTTTCGTAGCAAACCGTTAGTGAATAACGGAAAACGGTTCTAGTAGCTGTGCTATAAACCATGTTTTGATACCTAAATAGCTGTGATCTTCAGTCTTGGAATAGTATACTTTGTCTTCTAGGTAAGTCTTATTAGATTATAGTTTGTTTGTTGTGTTTATAGGCCTAGTCGTCTATAGTCATCTATTTTAATAACATAACTGCTCAAGAAGAACAGCAATTACGGTACCTCTTTAATTTGATGATATACCTGTTGTCATATAATTCATTTCAGTCAACATAATAATCAGACTTTAAGGAAGTAATGAAACAGATGTGCTCAGTAACCAGAGTTGCTTAAATTTTAATTTACGTTAATGTGCTTAGGCGTTGAAATTATAAAACGATCAGTATGATATTACATAGCCCTAGAAGAGGAATATTGTAAGTATTAACTAAATGCAACTGGCTACGGATCAACATCCGAAATCTGCTTAACTACTGGCAACTGAGCAAACGGAACCGATTCAGAAACCTTATCGTCAACATTGACATCAAATAAATAACGGAATTTCAGCACGCTGGAAGATAAAATATTGCAGCGAGAAAAGAGAACAAGGCGATCCAACCGCCAATGCTTACAACAATGACGCAAATGACAACTCCTGCTTCATTCTGATTGGATGACAAGCACACTGCCGAACCGGAGTTTAATTTCCCTACCACTCGAGATCACTGTGACACAAAGTGAGGAGCAATATGATACGAAGCATTATGGACTTTATTGAACACTTATGTATTGGATTCCAGTTTCCTGTTCCCGTGGTTGAAAAATTCACATGGAAAACTGAGAATAGGAGATAATGTAGTCAGTTCTCACTGATTGCCAAAACAGAATAGACGGTCAAAAACGGAATGAAGGAGTTTATGCAACAAATTGCATGTCACAATGATCTGTACACACAGAGTTAATCACAAAACATGACATGCGTAGATCGTTATTTTCGGATGCTAAGCTTGACTGCGTTTGAAATATAGGGTGTTAATCAATAAGTAGTTCAATTCTAGAACACCCACTGTTTCACCAGAACCATCCTTCAAATCACCTAGACAATAAAGCGAGTGAGCTCAATAGTACTCCAAATTTTAAAAAGGTTCAATGAAGAGAGTTTAGGAATCAAGTGGTTTGACAACGCCTTAACCAGTAACATCTACTATGAATAGTCTCCACCAAGTGAAATCAAAAGACAGAAGCGAGGAGGTTCGAAGATATATTTGATAGGTCATCAATATATCGAGGATCGACTGATCTAGGCTGGCTAGCAATTACAGGGGGTTTTGAGCAGGGTGTTCACACTCGTGATCTGGTGCAGATGCATGACCGAGCGCCTTCAGCTAGGTGAGTCCATTAAAACTAATGTGGCCAGCATCGAATGTCGAAGACTCACAGAGCTATTTAGTTTTGAGATTTATTTACCGTTACAAAGTTACGGGTCATATATTGAATCGTAGTACCTTACCTATTACATTTGCAATATTCTGGATGATTCTGACTTCGTGCACAACAAACGTTCGTTTTTAATACTCGTATAAATGTTAGGTTTATTAGTATCACTTATCACCACGACTTTACAAATAACCTAGTGTTGTTATGCCTCTCCTAAACTAGAGTATGTTTTGATCCTCGTTATTTTTTGTTTCCACATGATGTATTTTTATGGTTACTCCCGAATAGAGACATGATTTGTTGTATCTACGTTCTAGTGGGAGGCTAGTGCAGCAGCTTTATTGATAATACATTTGTATACACCATTAGCTTTCGACAGACGAAGACGTTGGACACTTTTGTCTGTTCACTGATTCGTTGAGAACGCCTTACATACTTTCAGCTTCATTTGATTGGTATGCCGTTAATCGGACCTGGTTAATTTTTCATATTTGATTGAAGCATACAATCAATAAAGCTTCCTGGTGGACTCTTGATTTAACACTGTATGAAAAGATGTTACTCGTTAGTGTTTTCCGACTTCACATAACTATTATGAGAAGTGTTTTATTACTTCTCTATATCTATCGGATCTATGATTATCAATCGTACATCTGATCCTACCTGTTTGCTTTAACCTTGAGATCATTAATCAGCCTGTCTGTGATACTTGAATTTTACAAATAACTTGTGGTTGTTCATTTCAGTTTTCAATATTCCACATTTGCCTGATAACAATAAATACGACAGTACAGCACCATAGTCGAAAAGAAAATTTTTTGTTCCTGAGTTGTATTTGCTTTCTTTTCCGCTGTTCAAAGTTTACTCATGAAAAGTTATTTCAACTCACGCAAGTATATAAAGTTAAACAAATGACTAGTGATAAAAGTGTTAGTAATGTCTCTACGACCCTTGACCTCGTCGAAGCTGAAAACTGACATCGCTTCTTGTGAGGTGTTTTGATGCATTGATAATGTCTGAACTCCCTGAAAGTAAAAAGCACAATATAAATGAAAATTGTGTTGAAAAAATATGGTTTAAATAGCAATGTAATGCCTATTTAACAATATTCCAACACTTGTAATGGTAAATCACAGGGTTGGTCATACTGATTTAGAAAATACAATCCTCAACTTAAGGTATGCGATAAAACTAGTTCGCCTTAAATCAAAATTTTAATGTTAGATGTTCAATGTTTCAAACATAAACGATTATTTTACTTACTTACATACTTACGCCTGTTACTCTCAATGGATCATAGGCCGCCGACCAGCATTCTCCAACCCACTCTGTCCTGGGCCTTCTTTTCTAGTTCCATCCAATTCTTGTTCATTTTTCTCATATCTGCCTTCATTTCTCGGCGTAATGTGTTCTTTGGTCTTCCTCTTTTCCTTTGGCCTTGAGGATTCCATGTGAGGGCTTGTCTTGTGACGCAGTTGGGTGCTTTCCTCAATGTGTGTCCTATCCACTTCCAGCGCTTCTTCCTGATTTCTTCCTCCGCTGGGATCTGGTTTGTTCTCTCCCACAGTACGTTGTTGCTAATAGTGTCCGGCCAACGGATCTGAAGTATTTTGCGTAGACAACTGTTAATAAACACCTGTATTTTCTGGATGATGGCTTTCGTAGTTCTCCAGGTTTCTGCCCCATACAGTAGAACTGTCTTGACATTTGTATTGAAAATCCTGACCTTGGTGTTGGTTGACAGTTGCTTTGAGTTCCAGATGTTCCTCAGTTGTAAATATGCTGCTCTTGCTTTGCCGATCCGCGCCTTCACATCTGCATCAGATCCACCCTGTTCATCAATGATGCTGCCCAAATACGTAAAGGTTTTTACATCTTCCAAATCTTCTCCGTCAATTGTGATTGGATTGGTGCATTCTGTGTTGTATCGGAGAATCCTGCTTTTCCCTTTGTGTATATTGAGACCTACTGCTGCTGAGGCTGCTGCCACACTGTTCGTCTTCTCCTGCATCTGTTGTTGCGTTTGGGATAGAAGGGCCAGATCATCTGCGAAGTCTAGATCGTCCAACTGCATCCTAGATGTCCATTGTATCCCGTGCTTCCCTTCAGACGTTGACGTCTTCATGATCCAGTCGATCACCAGGAGAAAGAGAAAGGGTGAGAGTAAGCAACCTTGCCTAACACCGGTCTTCACTTCGAACGACTTTGTCAACTGTCCTCCATGCACGATTTTGCAGTGTAATCCATCATATGAATTCTGTATGATATTGACTATCTTCTGAGGCACGCCGTAGTGTCGAAGAAGTTTCCATAGTGTTGTTCTGTCCACGCTATCAAATGCCTTTTCGTAGTCAATGAAGTTGATGTAGAGTGATGAATTCCATTCAATTGATTGTTCCACAATGATCCGTAGAGTTGCGATTTGGTCTGTACACGATCTATCCTTACGGAATCCTGCCTGTTGGTCACGAAGTTGGGCGTCTACGCAGTCCTTCATCCTGTTTAACAATACCCTGTTGAAGACTTTTCCCGGTATTGAGAGAAGAGTGATGCCCCTGTAGTTATCACACTTGCTGAGATCGCCTTTCTTCGGTATTTTGATCAGAAGTCCTTCTTTCCAGTCTTTTGGTACTTGTTCCTCATCCCAAATCTTATTGAAGAGAATGTGGAGTATCCTTGCAGTTGCCGCTACGTCTGCTTTTAGTGCCTCTGCTGGATGTTGTCCGGTCCTGCTGCTTTGCCACTCTTGATTTGTCTGATGGCCATGCTGATTTCTTCAATTGTTGGTGGGCCAACATTGATTGGGAGGTCCGTGGGTGCTGCTTCGATGTTGGGTGGGTTCAGTGGAGCTGGTCGATTCAAGAGTTCTTTGAAGTGTTCTACCCACCTGTTTTGTTGCTCTTCAATGTTGGTGATTACCTCGCCTTCCTTGCTTTTCACTGGTCGTTCTGGTTTGCGGCGATTTCCAGAGAGTTTCTTTGTCGTGTCATACAGTTGTCTCATGTTTCCTTCTCTTGCAGCCTTTTCCGCCGTCGTTGCTAAATCTTCCACATATTTACGTTTGTCGGTTCTGATGCTCCTCTTCACTTGTTTGTTTACTTCTGTGTATTCAGCTTGTGCCTTGGCTTTTTCTGCTCTTGTTCGACTGGTATTGATTGCTGCCTTCTTGTTCCTTCTTTCTTGAATCTTATCCAGTGTATCAACAGTGATCCATTCCTTGTGATGGTGCTTCTTGTGACCCAGGACCTCATGACATGTTGAAGTGATTGCCTCTTTGATCCCCTTCCAGTTGCTCTCCACAGTAGTTCCTTCTCCATTGAGTAGATCATGAAAGGCCTGGAACTTGTTGCTGAGGACTATCTTGAATTTGTTGAGTTTGTTAGTATCCTGAAGAAAGGCCGTATTGAACTTTTGTGATATTGTCCGCCCCGTTGTCCAGTGCTTCTTGAGTTTCAATTTCATCTTGGCGACCAGCAAGTGATGATCTGATGCTATATCAGCTCCTCTCTTGGTTCTCACGTCCTCTATAGTCCTCCTGAACGTTTTGTTGATGCAAATATGGTCGATTTGGTTTTGTGTAGTGTGATCCGGTGAAGTCCATGTGGTTTTGTGTATGCGTTTATGTGGGAATATGGTGCCGCCTATGACCAGCTTATTGAAGGCACATAGATTTGCAAATCTCTCACCATTTTCGTTTCTTTCTCCCAGTCCGTGTCGTCCCATGATGTCTTCATATCCAGTGTTGTCCGTTCCAACCTTGGCGTTGAAATCTCCCATCAGAATAGTCAGGTCCTTTGTTGGGCACTTCTCGACGATTGACTGCAGCCTATTGTAGAATTGATCTTTAGCGTCTTCATTGTAGTCGTTGGTAGGCGCATAGCATTGGATGATGTTCATTGAAATGCCCTCTTTCTTTGTTTTGAACGAGGCTTTGATGATCCTTGGTCCATGAGATTCCCATCCTATAAGTGCATTTTGCGCTTGTTTGGACAGCATCAATGCAACTCCTTGTGTATGTGGTGCATTTTCATCTTCATGGCCGGAGTATAACAGGAGCTCTCCTGTAGTTAGTCGTTGTTGTCCAACTTGTGTCCAATGTGTTTCACTGATCCCAATCACCTCTAGGTTGTATCTTCTCATTTCTGCAGCAATTTGGAAGGCTCTCCCGGTGTCCCACATTGTACGAACATTCCATGTTCCTAAATAAATGGTCGCTCTGGTTGTCAGAAGGGGCATCGGCCTCGTAACTTCCGAAGGAATTCGGCTTTCATCATGAGGCGTCATAGTTCTTCTAAATGAAGACCTTCTGACTCCCAGGGCAGAGTTTAAAAGGTTTGAATAATTTTTTCTGGTTAGCGTTTTTTAGCGAGTTAGTTTTCTACGGGATGGGGACGCTAACCCCATGCCCAACCCTCCCCCTTTATCCGGGCTTGGGACCGGCAGTAGCCCCCGGAGGGACTCCAGGCGGATTATTTTAGACATTGTAAAATACAAAAATCTACCCAATAATATTGTTTGATGCTTTGAAAGCCGACAAAAAGGTTAAATGTTATTTTTGGGTTTTCTAAAGTTAATTGTCAACTTACAAAGGATCATCGATGCAGAGAAAAGGAATATGCGAAGAGTTCAGTTTGTTTGCAAGTTGTTGCAGACTCCACGATTCACACGTTTGTCTAGTAGGGAATCGACAACAAGAATAATGATGATTGTGATAAAAATCTTTGAAAGTAGGGAAATTATCATAGAACATTAATTTAAATCACCTTTATTGTGCTTCATCCATCCCAGTATCTATTTATTCAAATCAAACCCATATGCACTGTTCTAAGTTGAGCAACAGCTTCAAATGTTATTCAGTGCATCACAAATCCTTAAAAGCAGGGTACATTGAGTAATCATCAAAATACAGAATCACTTGGTTGTTTATGGATTTCAAACAAACCCCTAGATAACATTCAACATACCTATCTATAATATTATATTAATGAAAGAATAATCTCGAGGGGCTGAATTTGTATAAAACATCAGAAATTGAAGTTGTGAACCATAATCCAGCAGAAATACATGTGGAAAATACTAAGATTTTATGTTACAGATAAATGGTGTAAACATTTGTGTAAAACCCAGTCAAAGTTGATAAAGAATACATTCATGAACTAATGGGATATTTACAGCAAAAAAATTTATGGTACTCATATTTTTCACTCAAAAGTTGAAGTACATGTTTGGAAGTTTACTACAAAGAATAAGTAGTTCGAATTCTGAACTCAAATGTTAAGTTCTTGAATTAATGTTTCATAAAAAATCCATCGACTACCATGTAACTCATAAAATAGGTACTCCTAACAACAATACGTCAGTTTTTAGTTTAGTCCTTGGTTGACTTCATCATGATTGAATAATAATGATGTCAACGGCATATAGATTCTATTGACCTCGTACACATCTTGTCGACAAATGATGTTAATGTAACATAGAGAACAGAAGTGGAATATGAATATGTATATTTCAGACGTGCTAGAATTGGACGGTAGACATGCAATAAGAGATTCAGCGAATGTACAAAGCGTTGGAGCTTGGTGAAATCGGAACTCAGAACAAAAAGGTGACTCAGTTTTTACCAGCCATGTAGAATATAAAGAAAATGGATGGACACGTATATACTATAATGAGCATTAAAAAAATGGTCAGTTACCTCCCAGTAGTTGATAAGGTCAAATAAATATATTATAAAATAGCTGGGATGATTAGGGTAATTCGTCTCGTATCTTTTAACCTTACTCAAGAAAATAGGCGTGTAAGTCTAGTCGAAAAAGTGAGATGAATAACCTGTCCAGAAATTAAGACAAGGTCCTACATTAGTGGTCTAAACTACCATGATTATAGTTACACAACACTTACTCTAAAATTGATATTAATGGTAAAATGACAAAACGGAAACTGTTGATTTAAGTAATTAACATTCACTAATACCAACGCAGCTAGAGTGTGACTATTGTTACTATGGTAGTGAGTGGTGGCTGCTGGTTAAAAAGCCTAACTTTCTGTCACTGGGTTCCAAGTTTGAATTTACGTTAATTTCACTCAAAACATTTGGCTAACAGATGAATTTAAAACATGTATCAGGTACATGAGCCATACTAAATGATTTAACTATCATATTTTATTAATGTTTATAGACTGTGTATTAATTTGAACACGTAAAATACACAAAGGAATTTTATACTGTATTTTATAAACAAGTGAATATCTCCATGAAAACTTGATAGTAGAATTCCACATCTCTTTTAATTATTAACATGTTCATCGTCTTACAATTGACACAAACCGAATTATACATGCCCCCTCAGCATAAACTACAATCTATAAGTCAATATTAACTAATAATTTTTAAATGGTTTTAAATGAGATTCATTTTCAGATGATAAATACACTTACCGGTAAGTGAAATCTTCCAAACTATGAATTAGTTTCACAGTTATTTGTCGTACTCGAGGACCACTCAACAGTGGTAGTTCTATTTTTCCAAAAGTTCTTACAGCATAAAATGCGATACAAATTGAATAGTTAAATAAAATATAACCGTTTCAATAAATACAGTTATATATATTAGTATCAGAAGTGGGTTTTGTGGATATTATGGTAATTTCAATAGTTGAGATCATGAGTGAAGAGTTGGACGGCCGCTTCGTCCAGTGTTTCCAGGTTTTCCATGATGGTCTAGTTTCAATGGACTCATGATCTCAACTATTGAAATTATACATATTAAACAAAAAAACAAACAAATTATTATTTTATTTATTCATTATTTCAAATGCTTTGTTATGGATGAATTTTTAAGGGAGGAAATGAATTAATTAATTTGTTGATTCAAGTTCATAATTTCATTAATAAGTATATCATTTTATAACATAACTATATGCCTGATCACAAAATCTTTAATCTAATAGTCTCGAAATTCCTGAGAACTACTTGAAAAACATATTTGATCAAGTATTAGCAACTTAATCAAGCCTCTCAACTTCATAAAGTATATTCCACAGTCTTAATACAGTTCAAATGAAACTGATGTTTAATATACGCACTATTCAATAGTCTGATGGATATGTGTTCTGTTTTACAGATGGTAGAAGTTAGTGAAAGCCGATTGGCAGTATTGAATAAAATTATGGATTTCATTCTCATGCATATCAGATAATAAAAATAACTAATTTTTAGACATGTTCAAAGTACTGGGCCATTGTAAATTAAATTTGACACATTTCTTCAACGGATTCGTTTTTAGTGATTTTGAAAGGTAAGTGTTTAATACAAAGATTATTGAGTTTCAATAGTTAATGTTGAACTTGTTAGGAAAGTCTTATTTCAACAAAAAAATTCTCCCTATGGAAAACATAATCAAAGATGATTTGTTCATTATGAATCCAAGCTCCATGAATAATGGTTAATTGTGTTGAACATGAATGATGCTGCAGTTCGTGTGAAAAATTCGTTAATTTTAGAGTGTAACTAACCAACGCTTTACTCAATCATATTTTTACTAATATGGGAGATAACTAAACGAGATTCTTAGACTTAACCCGTTATTTCAATTTAAATGTTATCTCGTGCATCACAAACTGCTTCGTTAATTGGGTAATGAACGTGTGTCAATGAATATATCAGTGGATATTCCTAAAGATTTTTATTAACTCGATAAGAATGAATTGGCTAAAAGAGATATTTATTAAAAAAACTCACTTATTTCCATCAAATGGAACCTTGACCGAGCCATTCAGTACCACAAAGACGTTACCAGATGCTCTCCTAGCAAACTATAATAAAGGCATTTCGTGTAAGAATACAAGTCGTTAACTGGTTTACTTTCAGTATTCTGTTATTTATTTAAAGCAAGCAAAATTGAGCTGCGGAATTAAATCAGCTATCTCAAAAAACTTAACGATATTAAACCATCCTTCGGAGCTGCAAACCTCTGCTGTTACAGTGTTAATTACTAGAAATCCATGGATTCATTTTTATCTCAGTCTTATTTTTGACTTAATGAAGATGTGAATTTTGGTAAAAGATAATGAAAACAACTGGAGGAAATCGAGAGAAGAATACTCCGTTCACGTTTCACGAATAGCTTAGAAACGTTAACCTGTTTACTTCTAAGATTTTAGAAAATAAAATATGACACACACCAGATGAATTGTCGAAGCACATACCATGTAAACCAAAAGACCAAATCACTCATGAGTTAAGCGTTAGTTACATTTACACAGGTCAGTTAGTTAGACCAAGAATACTATCCTGATCATACAAGTTAGTCTTCAAATGATCTAGTTTAAATTTTATGATCTTGATACACTTTACACATTAAAACTTCCAAACGCTTAAATATGTCAACTTCAAATCAGTTATGAATCTTCTGACTGCTCAGAATTTAACTACGTTAGTAGTTGATATTCATATGGATCTGAACATCACAGATACGTTCATTATTATTAAGAAGTTGTATTTTCCAATGGTTTCGAAGAAAAAACAAAACTGTTTTCGCTAGCATTCAACTATTCAATGCTAATAGCATCAAAAGAGTAGTAGAGAACCAGAATTTACAGAAATCTCAGCTTGTATATGACAACGCGATCAAAGTTCTTCAATATGAAACAATTATTCATCTTCAAGTGAACGAATTGGTGAAGATAGCAGATATGTGTAGATTGTTAGATTTAGTAAGCGTATCATTTGTGGAAACAATATATGTTTATGATATGAGGAATTTTCTTATTACATTTGTGTTGTAAATGTTAATTTTTGGAAGGAGGGTGTTGAAGCCAAATCAAATTTTAGCTTATCTTCTCATTTCTGTTCAGCCAATCTGAATTCCATTTTGTGTGAAGCCTTTTTGCTATGAGTCTTTGGTTGTGATTTTTAAAATTTCTATGGATGATCTCAGTGAATCAAAATCAATCTTGTGACTTGATATTTTTTAGCGTACAGACCCATGGCTGAAGAGGTTCTAAGTGTTTCGAGCTCCATCAGATTTTACGGTGGTCGAGCAGGAGCTATACAATGTTCATTTGTTCTTGTGTTGATTTCTCAAGGACTTTATTCAATTTATATTGTATCACGGTCTAAACAATTTATTTCATAGACACAATTAGGCCGTGAATCTTTTGGTATTTTATCTTATACATGAACACGGTTGGTTTGTAGTGTTTCGGATGCTCTAAAAAATACTTTGACATTGACACTGTTGAGTAATTTTCTTGTCTCATTTGATGTGCGCGGTTATAATGAACGAAGACTTGGGTGGGATAAACCAATTTACTATGCTAAGCAAAATTACACTGGATTTCTGAAATATGAAGGCAATACATTGAATACACCATTTGCACATCTTCCTTGAATTGTCACTTACAAGCTCCATAGTTCTTTCATTCCTGTTGCTGCTCGGGCTGTTCTGACATTCTGTCTCTTCTCTTCATGTTCCCCTTCTGTCAGTAAAAATCTCACATTCGATTCTTGATGCATACTGCTTATAACTGTCCGTATAGGTAGCACACCATACAATATGTATTAAATGTCAAATGTTGTAGTCTATTATTCTGAAGTTTATTTAGTTTATTTATTTGAATACATAAACATAAGTACAAGGAGGCAACAAATAGATATGCGTGACACTTCTTCATTTGATTTGTGTATGGGCTGTGATACTGTACGGGTGCTCAGACCGAAACAGGTGGTTTTCTCAGGGAGCCACTCCCCAAGCCTTCGACCTAAAGTTCTGACTCACAAGGTAGTGGAGCAACGTCAGGAGATGCAGTCTGTTGGTAGCCGGTGGCCAACAATTGGTTTGTACGCCGTTTGTTTCTTTAGAATCCTGGAGCCCATGTGCATCATTGGTTTGGAATCAGGGTATTCGAACTCCCCTATGTGGATCGTCTATATTCACTAACCAGGTTAAAGCGCCGGATATTTGCTTCTCGTCTTTTCAATTCGGTAAACAACACCCTCACTACGTGAAAGCGGTGAGTAGGAATTCTGTGATGGTGGCTGTATACTCATGGCTATGTTAGAACATTTCGAGAGGGAGAGCTAACTCTCCTCACCCTCAGCCGTATCGGAGCATTTGGGGTACATTTAATGTTATTTTCTATTCTTCGGATAGTTAATTGTTTGAAGAAGCTTTTTTGTGTTCTTTAGCTCAGATTTCTTTTTCTTTATGTTCGACATCAGTGTGTGTGTGTGCTCTTCCTAAATGTTTGGAGACAAGCGATACTTTTGATATGAAAATTTAATATCAAAACAAATGTGTTCATTTTGGGAACTTGAAAATAACAGTTAGTTTCCCCATTCATATGAGGTCATGGCTATTGTATTCTGGTAAAAATGAAGATTTATTGACTCTCCAGAAATACGTACCTGAAACATATCATCAATAAATCCATATACATTCATACTGTTTTTATCCGCATTTAATGATCAGTTGATAAATATCAAATATGGGAGAAATATACAAAATTATTGCAAGAAGGCACGAAGTTCAAACCGAATTAGTTCACCTGCCATGCTAAGCGAAATTAATACCAGACTTATGCAAGAATACTGACCTGAAATAACATCACGTCACAGTTAATGAAATTCTTAATGGATTGATACAAAAAACTAATGGTCTGAAATAATGTCAACTTCATATCCCCTTATATTAATGACCATCAATCTGTCTTTCCTCAATTCCGTTCACTATTTTTTTCAAAGGTAAATAGTCAAATACTTATGCTTTAAATGGAAATCAACCGGCTAATCATATTAGAGTAATCATTTTCATTTCTAAGTAATCAACCGATTGACATGAATATCACTTCTCTACACAGTCACGTTTTATTAGCTCATTCAGGTGATGATATTTATCCTGACCCATTTAAAGAGAACAATCTGTTGGCTAATTACTTCTGATACATACCCATAGCTTCTATATCAGTAGTTTGATTTGCACTGAATATGATTTACGAGTTATAATTACCCGTAAGCAATTAATTCGCCTCATTTACGAAGTCTTACTTAAAACGATATTTTCTATAAAAGAAAATTCTTTTCCAAGCTCCAAACTAGATTTAAAAACAACACACCCTAACAATTACTGACTATCACTTTCAATTTGATAACATGTAATTATTCATATGACATTTTCTATATTACGAATGTGTAAACATATCGCGATATCAAAAAACTAGATTAACGTTTCATTCGGACTAAAAAGAAAGGAGACGCTGAAGATAGTTTAGTACAATCATCATAAAAAACTTAGTACTTATTTGACGATTTTCAGCATCAGATCATTAAAGAATCTTATACGAAATTATTTTATTAGACATGACATAGTTTTTAATTAATGCTGCACTATTTAATGCAAATCTATTGTGGTATGTAGAATAACACTATGTTAATAGGTAGAGAATTACTTCTTACATACCTCAGCCGAAGCACTTTCCCAGTAAGCCCGAACAACAATTTTACGATCGCATCCACATGAAGTCCCATAGTTTGTCATGCCTGTTAATGTTTTATTACACCAATTCAAATCATCAAACAGATATCCTAGTTGCAGACAAAAAATGAATTAAATTAGTCTTTTCAGCACATTGATAATGTTATATAATGAGTGATTGATATTCGGGTAATAGATTTTTATCTTAACTCACTGGAAATTAAACATACTATACCATGCTTGATATGTGGCAACAAAACAGACATACGCAGTTAAAAGTCTATGATTATTACTTCAGCTATCTCTAGAATCATAAAAAAGTGTGCTTGACGAAATGTCTGATTGTTCAGCTGCTAAAAAACGTGTTGCTAATTAACAACACACTCCACCTAGATCGAGATCTTGCATGATTTGTCACCTTAACTTTGTAATTACCGAGCGTAGTCACATAAATCTAGTTTTATTGCCGTACTCATAGGTTTCTAAGACTTTCGAGGCTGTTAGCTATCGGCATCTTATTAGCAAACTCATATCTTATGGAATCACACATTACACATTGGCACGGTATAATTCATTTTCTCAATAACTGGAATCGACTAATTAAGATTAACACTCCCCATAGGACGATCTGCCTGTAACAAGTGGTGTAATACAAGGCAATGTCTTGAGTACTTTGTTCTTTACTACATGTATAAATCATATCTACAATTGCTCCACAATGGGTATACCTTTTGAAGACTTAAATATGTACAAAATCGAGTTAGTATCAATTATCAGAGTCACCTGATGGAGCCCAAAATGGAATTTTGAACCTAACACTGCTAAATGTTGATGAGTTTGCTTTAGTATTTTTTTCAATTTCGACTTCATAATAAATGATAAGTCGCTATTTACGCTTCATTTAGTTTATTTATTTGAATACATAAACATAAGTACAAGGAGGCAACAAATAGATATGCGTGACACTTCTTCATTTGATTTGTGTATGGGCTGTGATACTGTACGGGTGCTCAGACCGAAACAGGTGGTTTTCTCAGGGAGCCACTCCCCAAGCCTTCGACCTAAAGTTCTGACTCACAAGGTAGTGGAGCAACGTCAGGAGATGCAGTCTGTTGGTAGCCGGTGGCCAACAATTGGTTTGTACGCCGTTTGTTTCTTTAGAATCCTGGAGCCCATGTGCATCATTGGTTTGGAATCAGGGTATTCGAACTCCCCTATGTGGATCGTCTATATTCACTAACCAGGTTAAAGCGCCGGATATATTTGTAATTAGGCTGAATACAATTAAAATCAAATAATTTCATTAAGTATTCTTTCTGCAATCCTTTTACTTTACTATATATTACACTTTAGGTACATGGACAGTATTGTATTCTTAGATGTAATGTGTTTCATATTATTATATTCTTTGAAAATTATTCTTCTAAGTGAAGCAAGGTTTAAAGTTAAATAACTTTCGAAGATCAAAATACATTTGTATTCATAGAAATATTATATTTTTCGAAAGAAAGTATTTTTAATGACCTACAGTCTTTGTAATGGTTTTGATAATTATATACACTAATGAAATGGAATATTTTTTGGGTAGTCATTCACGGTCAAGCAGTAAAAGAAAAGAAATATTTTAAAGTTAGTTGAATTTTATGAGATTTAGAATTTTACTGATAATGATAAACTTTCGACTTACCGTGTGAATGATACTATTACAGTATCAAAGCCAAAGTTTTATTAATTTATAATTGGCATAGACATTTAAGAAACTTAAATACGAATAACAAAAATGAAGTGAATAAAAGTAAATTATAAAACTTTCGTAAGCCCAACCTGGCAATGTAGTTTCTAGAGAACGACACATTCCAAGACGTTTACACATTCCACGAATGACCTCCATCACTTGAGAATGGAAGTAATACTTAAAAATAGAAATGAACAATTTAAGTTGGAAATTATATCATTCATAAATATGATGCTAACGTTTTTACAAGACATATATACTTTTATATAAATGATATTTTGTACACGTCATTCTAAGTTGATATTCAAAACATTTGTCAACAATGTTGAAGTGTTGGAACTACCACCGTTTATTCGTTCTTACCAAAGAGCAATTCTCTGGAACCTATTTATTTATTTTGATTGATCAAGTTGAACAGTCTATACGTATATCGTGGTTAAGGCAAACGATGGTGTAAGTGTACCATTAAGAAGTAACAATACTATGCTATACATAAAATTCTCCGCAATTTGTTTGTTGAAAACAATTGTTGTTCGGCACAACTAGTTGTAGCTCATAATTTTTAAAGTAAAACAGTACCCTGTACAGTAATTCGTTCATTTTAGTATCAGCTGTTGATGCACAAAGTTTACGATTAGTGTTCAAAATGCGAAGTGTTAAGTGTCAGTGTATCAACCAAGAAAACATTCTTCGACTCGTTGATTTTACTGAGCCACATTTTATCTGAATTTCATGCATGACATGCTTGATTCAGTAAATAGTAACTAATCAATAATTGGCTTCTGTAATCCGGTCTACTGATGATTCAGTGCGTGTTTACAAATCAGTCATATAACTCTTTCATTTGTCGGATAAGTGTACAGAATTTATAGAAGAAAAATCTTTGCTCATCTTATTTCAAAATTAATATTTGTTTTGTATTATTCAACTTCCACTCGTGTATATTGATAAACCACGTACCAGAATACTATGCCTAGATTTTAAAGTTAACCGTGTCAATTCAACAAAACATTTAATGTAGAACCCTGTGACTGATCCGTTGAATTATCAGGTTATTGGTATTAGTATGTGACTAGCAGCGGAATTCAGGGTACAGTTTTTAATTCAAAATGAAAACTTGCTATCCAAAGACAACTGGATCCAGGTCGTTCCACTATGAATATCGAAACTGGAATCTACGTATGTCCAGCTGACGAATTCCAAACAGGAGGGAACGTGAGTACAAGATCAAAGTGCTAGTCACATATCAAATATACTTAACTGATTTTAACGATCTAGACTGGAGAAGAAGCCTAGACATTTGATGACAATATTTTTATAGTTGAATCCATGAGTAGACCACCATTAAAAACTTGACAGCACTGGACGGCCGTTTCATCCCAGTATGAAACTTGCTTTAAAATAAATTTCCTGGAGTCCTAGTGAGAAGCCGTGATCAGTGTAGTCCAATCTGTGTCGGATATGAGACAGTTATCCACCTCAGACAATAGGTGAAGGGTTGGGCAAGATCGTGGGTAGACTAAAGCTAGACATTAATACAGTGGGATGGCAGCTCAGTGGTCTAGAGGTTAAGTGTTCGAGCGCGAGATCGAGAGCCCTGGGTTCGAGTTTCGCGTGAGAATTTCTGGATGCACACTGCTGAGTAGCTTCAAACTAGAACGAAACAGCCGTTCAATGCTCCCAGGTTTCCACTGGTGGTCCAGCTTAGATCAACTCGTGAATTCAACTGCGAAAGTACCACGATCTTCACAAATCCCTACACTGATTACATTTTTGTCCAAATTATCTAAGTTCAGAGAAGTCACATAATCTCTATTTACTAGAATTTATAAATAAATTGGTTGTAATCACACCATTTTGCACCGTTAATCAAGAGAGATCAATGCATCAAAGTTGTATAAATAAAACCTATTGACTGACTGAGTTCATGAATTTATTTGTGACAAATTCAAGCTGCTTACTATATCTAAATATTCGACCAAAATAATAGGACAAATGCATATATTTTTTGTTATATCCTCTGCAATATGTAAAATTGTGTTAATTTAATTCGGTTATTTATTTACTCTGAAGAAGTGGTCTACATTGAGTCTGGAAATGTCAGAACTACAATTTTTCACCCAATCAAATATAACAAAAATATTTTCTTTTATTAACTTTCTACCTAATGATCAATTTATTTAAAACGATCAAGTCCAAACTTATCACCGTTACCTAGAAATAAGACAGTTAATTAAACGAGGATCGGTATGCAAATTACAAAGTAACAATTGATAATTCCTATATACTTGTCATAAGACTGAACAACTAATTACTACACCTGTAGTGAACGAAAACACGAGTGGGGACAATCGATTTCATAGATTGGTTGAGGTTAGACATTAACACCATTGGGTGCCGGCTCAGGGGTTCGGTAGGTTAAGCGTTCGCACGCGAGATTGAAGACCCTGGACTCGAATCCTGCGGGCAGGATCGTGGATGCGCAGTGCTGAGGAGTCCCACAATAGGACGAAACGGCTGTACAGTGCTTCCAGGTTTTCAGTGGTGATCTAACATCAATCGATTCATGATCTCAATCAAAACTAAACAATCTCCACAACCTCTACTGATAATAGAAATAGTTTATTCGATCTTTACTTTACTAATAAACATTTTTTTTTGCTAAACGTCAAACACAAGGGTTGGGTAATTGTTTATATACATTTCTAAATTATTAACTATCATTATTTCATGAAAAAAGTATTAATGTCTAACCGTAAAATATTATTTTAAAACACATAATACCTGATATTATTGAATATAATTAAACTTACTTCAGTTTGAATTGTACGTTGTTGTCGTAGTTCTTGTTGTTCCAATTCAAATAATTGATAAACAAAATCATCGTATGATTTTGGTTTCATAGGACATTGTGATTTATCAGCAGGAGAAATTAAAATGTTCTCAAACGAATTCCAGATCTCACTACAATTTATACTTTTTATATGAAATAATAAATGAAATTAATTCAGATAAACACCTAACAGGATAATTAATGGACAAATATAATTCTGTTTTTATTGACATTTTTAAGAATAAGAGAGTTGTGGAAATACTTAAATGTTTTAATTTACATCATGGAATATTTCTAACTAAACAACCATTGAAGATTGTAAAGTTTTATACAACTGTTTCATCTTTGTATGAGATACGTCAGTTTTGAGAGCTCACGAATCCACTTAGTGGTCTAAAGGTTGACCATTGACCTCAAGGCCTTAAAATCATGTATCTAATTTCTGTTGCGTTCTCGAATGTTCACTACTAAGTTCAATGTTAAAATGAAATTGATATCACATACCCCCTAGATTTCAACAGTTATGTATTACAAGATTAGTTCATGATATAAACCACAAATTTTCTTTACTAATTATTAATTATTCAACAAATTTAAAATATCAATAAATTGTGCAAAGACATTAGATTTCATCTATAAATTATGAAAGTGAATTAATAGTTCAGTGATCAAAGGCTTTGACTTTTTGTAGCTGGATGATAAATTCAAACTTTCAGTCCATTTATATTGCTACTTGATAAAAAGTAAATAGTATCACTAGCACTTACATTCAACTGCATAGTTTTAAATTGAAATAAGCAGACCACTATATAATTATTGATTTACACTAATAACTTTAGTCGATGGGATAACAGTTTTTGGTAAACTTGGGGAAAAAATTAATTTACAAAATGAAATTGGCAAAACGTATACTGTAGACTTATATTGTGATTCCTCATTCATTGCTTTCAAAAATAATTCTTCTGAAAGGTATGCTTACAGTTCAAATGTCATATTTATTTACGCTAACACAATAAACCAATAGATTGATCAGATCCTCAAAATTTACTCAATAAAATGTGTAACATTAATAGCTAATAAGATTTATAAATGTGTTACACAGTGTAAATGGTTAAAATTTCAAACAGTCATACTATGTAATCAATTCACTGAAAATAATATCCTGTGAATTAACTGAATATCGCAGAGTTCATTTTTATATTTTACATAGTTGTATCAAAATAGAGTTAACATATATATCCGGTGACTGAAACGATTCCTGTAATTGTTTCCAGCAAGTTCTGGTCAGAAAAACAATGAAATTACTATTAATGATATAAATATCACGTTAGATTGAGCATTATGATTTGAGATGGGAATTTGAATTATTACAATCAGATTATGTGATCTTAAATATCATTGATGTTATGGATGATAACTTCTGTTAAGTATCAAACCGGGAAGAAACTAATGTCCGTTAATTCCTTTATCCTTAATTGTTTCCTATAAGATTTTTTTCCCTGATCGAAATTACTTTTAAATCACTAATTAACAATCTTTGTATTTAATATATGATTGTCTAATTCATATAACTATGATATTCATAATAATATTATTTTATTTCGAAAAAAACTGTAATATTTAGTTATTATGGGTTTCTTAACAATAAAATCAAACAAACTTACTTAGTCGCTCCATGTTCAATCTTCCAGTGAGTACATCTTGATTTTACTATATCAGCAAGTAAGTTCGTTTGATGTTGTGCACAGTTAAAGTCAAATATATTTGATAAAGTAAGAAACAATATTATAATCATCATTATTTGAATTAAAATATTGTTAAAAATAAGTGAACAATTCAGTTTTTTTATTTATATGTATACAATCTTTTATAGTTATTTCAACATGAGATCAACACAGATCAGGATTTTACACCCTCATTATTACGAAATAAATTAATCTCATTGGATGTTTAATTACTAAGTTGTTACTATGCTTGTAGTTTAGCACTATTTTTATTTGTTATTGGTTACTTTGAATGATCAGTGTATGAGATACAAGAAACACTAATTAATAATAAAAATGAACTTTAATTAGTAGAATTTTATTCAAAACTGTAACTTTTTCTGGCCCAGAAATCATGTGAATTATGCTTTTTAGCAATCCTATTATTGATCACTTTCACTTATATAAGTTGTATAAGTTGACTGTTATCACATTTCAATGTCTATTCGACTGCATGTTTATAGACCCACACAAATTAGTCTTACTGTATTTTAATAGTAAAAGAATATCAAGGATTTACGGTGAGACTAGTGAAGAGTCAGTAAGTACGAAATATTACATTTTCCAAACTGTGCTAATTTACGTCTATTACCCCACGTGGAGGAGTATAGACCGTCCACCAGCATTCTACAAACAATCCTATCCTTGAATACCCTTTCCACTTGTTTCCAGTTGATATTCATTTTTTATGTATACATTCTACTGCCGGCGCAATGTGTTCCTAAGTCTTCCTTGTTTCAATTTCCCTTCAGGATTCCAAGTTAGCATTAGCCCCGTGATGCAGTTTGATGATTTCCGAAATGTATCTCCTGACTACTTCCAGAGTCTTTTCCCAATTTCCTCTACAGACGGAATCTGGTTCGTCCTCTCACACAGTAGGTTGTTGCTAATGGTATCCGACCAACGCATATTAAGTGTCTTGCGTACACAATTGTTTATAAATATCTGTACTCTCATGATGATGATTGTGGTCGTTCTCCAAGTTTCAGTTCCCTCCATACAGTAGAACTGTCTTGGCGTTCGTATTGAAGATTCTGACTGATATTGGTTGACAGACAGTTGTTTTGAGTTTCATGTTCTTCAATTGTAGGAATCCTGTCCTTGCTTTGCCAATCCTCGACTTTCCGTTCTCATCCGATCTTCCTTGGTCATCGATGATGCTGTCCATGTGCGTGTACGATCCCACATCTTCCAGAGCTTCTATATCAAATACGATTCTCTGTGTTGTATTTGAGGATCTCACTTTTCCACATGTGTGCGTTGAGGATGTAAGAGCAAAGTTTAAATCGTTAGCTGCATTCAGCTTGGATTCATTAGGTTTCACTGATTCCGATCACCGCCAAGTTGTATCTCCTAATTTCCGAAGCTGTTTGACGTGTACTCTCAGTCTCCCACATTTTCCGGGCATTCCATTCATTTATATTATTGTCGTACTTGTTTTAAAATGGCCATTAGTCTCGTGATTTTTGAAGAATCTCGGCTTTCATAACACTTTTAAATGAAGATCATTCAATTCGGAGGGCAGCAATTAAGTGGTCAAAATGGTTTTCTTTATGGTTGTAGTGTTTTTTACCAAGTGTTTCTCTACGGGATGATGATATATATATGTAAAAGTCAGTATGTGTATAGTTAAAGCTTCGAAAAATAAAATATGTATCCAGTGGTATCTTATAAGTGAAGATTTTCTTCAAGCTACCGATCACAGATACTCGTGACCTAGCTATACTTGATGAGTTTAGACTGATGCATCTCGGTAATTAATCGAATGACTTTTATCACTTAAGTTGAAAGTGTTAACATCCTACATTTGGAAGATGAATTTTGTACAGTATTTGAAATATGTGGCTATTTGCTATACATGTATCCCGGATTCTTAACAAACTTTACATCGTTAATCTAAGGAGTTTCAATGTTTAGAATCCTGTTATGACAAATAAATCTTTTCAAGGTTAATTTCCATATCAGTGGTTTTCCAAATAAGTGATTGCACTAACAACCATGTCACTCTAATTTACATCTATCAATATATGCACTACAAATCTCCATTAGTGATATCTGTCATCTGAATAAACTATTGAAACAGGTACTATCGTACCATACTTCGAAACATTTGGAAACACGTGAGAGCCAACACAGATGATTGTAGCAGTGAATAATCATAGCTAAATGTGGAAAGGTAATAAAGAATAAGTTTTACAATCTTTGTATTTGAGAGAGAAAAGATCAAATATGTAAATAAAGAAGAGTATTAGGCATCATATCAAATTTCTATTCTAAAGTGTTAATCAGAAGCTATGATGAGAATATATAATCAAACAAATTGATTGACGATTCAATCACAAGACATAAAAATACCTTACAGTGTTGTAATCTATTAATACTAAATTCATGATGGTATCACAATAAGTAATGATCTTCATTATTCAAATCATAATCGTTGAGTGATTTGATGGAAACATGTACTTACATGTTTCGTAAAAAAAAGACCTCACACTTACAATTATAGAATAATTACGAATGAGCGAAACTGAACTTAATTTATCAACGCAAATGTAAATATCATCCTGAAATATTCAAAGAAATACAATGTACAAAGCTATTTTATATTGATTTATTTTTATGTGAATAAATTTGTTGAAATTAGTAATGAAAAGGTAATGTTATTTTGAAATAAGAAAAAGCTTCATATATATATGAAATGATTTCAGCGAACAAGAAAACTGTATTTTTCCATTCATTTTATTGTTACTCAACTTGACACCCCCAAATGTCCTTGTATGACTGAGAGTGGGGAGAGTCAACTCTCCCTCTCGAAATGCTTTCACATGGCCACGTGCATCCTACTCACTGCTTTCTCGAGGCATTACTGTTGCTTACGAAATTCAGGGGACGAAAAGCGAACGTTCGGCGCTTTAACCAGGTTGTGGATATAGAGGATCCAACTAGGAGAGTCAAAAAACTCTGATTCCAAATCAATGATGCACATGGGCTCCAGGATCCTGAAGAAACAAATGGCGTATGAACCAACTTTTAGTCACTGGCTACCATGGGATCGCATCTCCTTACGTGGCTCCACTGCCGGTTGATTAGGCCTTTAGGTCAAAAGCTCGGAGAGTGGCCCCCTTACGAAACCACCTGCTTCGGTTTGGCACCAGAGCAGTGTCCCAGCTCTCACACAAATCGAATGATTTATGCGTCGCATATCATTTTGATGACTCCTTGCATCAATGTTTATGTGTTTGAATAAATAAATATTCAACTTGACAGTATAGTTCTTTAATGTTGTATCTGTATCAATTTAAACAAATTCAATAATTAATTTATTGAATCTTTTACTCATTAGTTTAATGTTTCTTGTTTGTCTATGCTGTTAAAGACATTTATTTATTTGATGAGTGACATGACTATTTCTGTAAATCTTTTATTTATTTTAGATGTGTAGCTAAACTTACAACTTGTTAAGATAATGATGATAGAAAATGAAAGCAGAATATATGGAAATTAAACTGTAGATGTTTCTTTTGTTGGTGTTGTCCTCAGTGTTTATCGTTCTCACTGATTGTGTAATACTCGGCAATTTCAGTCATTTTCCCTTACGCAGGTGTTCCATACTACAGTATATTTCATATCAATCAACCCTGGATTTGTTTGCAACTGTCTAGTATAAAGCATGTCTAGTAAAAGACAGTATAAAATGTCGGATGAAACACACAAATATAGTATAATTTAGGGCTTTAAATAAGATCTCTGATGAAACATACACTCTAATATTCAATACCCATCCACTAAATGTGGAGAAAATTGACTGGAAGTTCTGATTAAGGATGTCCCTAAGTGATGCTTTGAACACACCTATATGGTATAAATATGTGTAATATGATTTTCATATGATTCTTTTATGAAAACATTGAGTGTTATTTTAAATTATTCCAAACTAATATTCGGTAAGAATTATTTAAAACTAGTGAACAGTCTCCACTCATGAATAATTAGTCCTGAATTATAACAACCAGCACAATAACGTTCATCCATTCAGTTTTTATTCAGTGTTCTAATATATCAAATTCCAGTCAGTCCTCAATTAAAACACAGTCCTTTTCTTATTGAATCTGAATAAATATTTTATCTGGAAATTGGTTGACACACCAAGTTTTGGCTCGTGAACTGAGCTTCGAAAAATCCACTCTGAAACTGGTGAAAAATAAGCAATTGATTATTATTTTTCGACATTGTTTTGTCAAAACAATCTATACAATTTAGAAGTTATTTTTAAAACTAACTTGCTTCAAGTGAACTAATAAAGACCAAGAAACATTGAGCATCTGCCACTTCACTGACTTCAGTGAACCTTCATGTAATTTACTTAAAGTCTGTACTACAATTCACATTCATTGACTCACGATGAATCCAACTTAGGAATGACTAGTCATGAGGTAAATGCGTTATTTCTCAACCAGTATTTTGAATTCCAGTGAACTACATTTTTAATATCAGTCGTTTCGTCTTACAGAGAAGTAATCATTCAATCTTATAGAGGATGACTGCCTCAGGGTGTGAATGAACTTCACAAAATACGACTTCTCATATGAGCTTCGTAAAGCATCTCGAATTTAAATAATGATGAGCACAGGATTATAGTTATAGAGGTCTGTGGAGACTGGTTTTATTTTCATGTGGTTTACTCGACAAGCTAAAATCACATAGGGTACCAATGAAAACTATGGGTAATTGGAGATCTGTGATAAATCATCGTTTCTCTGATAAAATAATCTTTTCTCAGTCTTTATGTAAATACCGGACGATGTTCAAGAGTTATTTTAACAAATTTTTGCATAAATTATAAAAGTGATATTTTTGTGTAGAATAACTGTAGTCGTTTTATCTTGGACACACTTTATAGACCTCAGTTTTTTTTAAATTTCACCATAGCTTGTTATTTGCTAGACTACTTTCAAGTACATTAATAATGAGATAAAAATAGTACCTAGCTAAAGTACGGTATTATTCAGAAAGTTAAATTTCAACATTAAACAAACTAGATGTTGTTTCTATATTTCAGAATATAATAAATTGTGGAGGCTGGAAATTCTGTGTTCGCAATAAAATGTGTCTTAT